CCTCTTCTCTTCTTGGCGACGGCAACATGAACATCAACAGTTGTCCGGCACTTTGCGCACGCTTCCGGAAATGGTTGGCCAAATTTCATACTTGTACACCAAATATATTTCATAATCGATTTGACAGCTTTTTTTAACCACTTTACTTATTTGGGTTTTGATGTGATTTCATATTTTATATTTCAGTTCTGATACAATCATACTTAAGGATGTGCACACATAATATTTTTATGCATTAGACTATTTTGCTTGAGTCTTGCTTACCACTGTCGAAACAATTTCGGGTATTATTTTGATGAAATTGCCTGAAATTGCTTCAGGCTACGCTGGAAAATTATTACTCCTATTAATTTAGCAAAAAGTAGAAGGAMGAACTCAGTATTAAGGGGGTAGAAGAAATCTAGTCTAGAAATCAAATTTTGGGCAGCTTTTTGAATTTTATTTAAAAAAAAAACCAAAAAATATTTTTAGTATCCATTTTTTACAGGTGTACAAAAATGGAGGCATTGATCCTGACTCCCTTGGTGGTCTGGAAAAAAAATCAAAATAAATTCTCAATCAGTAAGGATGCTGTTATAGGCCCTACCTCAGGGAACACGAAATATTTTTTTTTTTTTTTGAAAAATGGCGATGCCTGAAAATAAAAATAATTTTTTACTTTTTTTTCTTTTAAAATTCCTGAATTTTTTTTAAAGTTTAAAAACAAAAATTTTGACACGTTGCTGGTAGCAACGATAAAGGATTATATAAAGAAGGTTAACATAAAGTTTCAAGTAAATCGGTTGTATAGAACTTGAGATAATGCCGGTACCATGTGGAAAAAAATAGTTTCGAGAAAAACGCGTTTAAAAAAGTGAGTCAAATTTCAGGCAGTCTAAGTCATTTATTAGTGCGCTAGGTACTGCGTCACTAAAGTAACTGTAGCTCCTAAAATAATTTTAATTTTTTAAAATCCTTTGCTGGAAATTCTAGCGTGGAATACCCCCTTAAACTTGTAATCGTTAGAAACTGTACTGTAAAGACGATGAACTCACTATCCTAACGGGATTTAGGTTGAGAACAAGCAAGCGTTCCCCTGTCATCGTACACTCAAGCCCTGGATCTATGGGCCTCGCACGAGCTCAGCAAGCGTTGGTCAATAAACAGCATTTGTAAGGTTCCGAAAGCCTTCTGGACGAGCGTGGAATGCAGAGATATATAGAACTACTAGCTTTTAGCACGCTTCACGGTAGATGTCCTAACTTGACATTGTCCCATTGTCACTCACCGGTGAGCGTAAAGATTTTGGAGGACGCAACTTTTTGCAGGAAGGAAGATGAGATGGAAACATATTTCTCCTTCACTGTACAGCTTTAGCCAGCCTAAGGTTGAAGCTAGTGAGTTGTCATAAACTCCATGGAATTTTCTAGAGTACATAGATATTAGCCAGCTCAATAAATTTATTTTTGGCTCTAGGCGCTTTATAGATTTACTACGATTATTTTGATCCGTACATAAGAGTTCTAGGCATCATAACGTACTTCGTGGTCTCACGAATATCAGTCTACTAACCTAACCTTACATAAAATTGGAAAGAGGAAGTTAGTAGTAGCAAGGAAAAATGAAAGATGAAAGACCAAAAAAATGATTGAGCGAACTAATATCTGTTCGAAACATTAATACCCCGCTTTTTTTTATAAAAATCTTACATTTCAAAAACAGTTTTTGTTTAGTTTGTTATAATAACCGCAAATATCTTTCCAAGATATACATTTAAAATCAGAAGCAGTTTTCTTAAACTACTACTTTATTTTGGTTTCTTCCTGAGGTACTCACAAATTCTTAACCTCAAACAGCCAGTCGAAATTCATTACAAATAACTTTTAAAGTCACGTTTTCTTCACTGTTTTTACTTTACTTTATTGTGTTTTTTTTTTTTTTTAGCATGCGCGGGCCCACTTTCGTTTGGACTTTCAACTTGAAGACGAGAGAAAAGGCTGCCAAATGGACGTTGGCCGGTGTTTGCTTGCTCCTGCAAATCTAAAATGTGTTTACACAAAAGTACAAAAGCCAGCACAAAAGCATAACAACTTTAATGGCATTGGAAGTGGGTGCTTTTTCCACTGGATCAGCGAGTGCGCTACTACTCACGATGTCCTTTTGACTCAACTAAGACATTTATTTGTATTTCATATTCGTTTTATTATTATACAGACATTATGGAATGCCATACTTGCGGCTCCATTTGTAACCTTTTGAATATATACATATATACATACTGTATATTTGTGACATATTTTACAAAATTTTCGATTTATTAAATTTCAGTATTGAATTCTAATTTTAAAGCAAATTTATTGAACCAATCGTTACAATTCCTTAAAAACTTTCAAAATAGKCTCCTTCTGGTGCATGCTGCCTGTCTCATCGGTCYTTTCAGGCAAGGAAACAAAWARGTCCAGGGGGCCCACATCTGGGCTGGAAGCCTTTCACAGAAAGGAAGAGGAAGGTGAAKKTKTTAATGGCTGCACTGTGACTGGCGGTCAGCGAGTGTCGAACTAATGCGATTAGAATATTCGGTCGCGGACTTTGAAAACCCCACGYCTCTAAAAAAGCATTAACTCTTTTAGATACAGAAAATTTTCATCGACAGAATCTTACAAAAATAGGTTTATGATGTATAATTTGAAATATGGATACAGTAAGAACTCAACAATTTCTGGTAAAATCTTGTACTATCCAAGCACAGGAAAAACGGAAGTCGCTAAAAACGATTTACAACAAAATTCACGTCAGGACTGACAGGGTAAGTATATGCCAGAGCGCCAAGATCATTTGCAAGAGACCCCTCGGAAAACGCTTGTTGTTGTTGTTGTTGTTGTTGTTGTTGTTGTTGTTGTTGTAGCGGCAGAATTCTGCCGAGTTCACAGTCCTTGGCCGGATAAAAATCCGGGTCCGTTCCGGTTACGTAGACCCGACTGTCGTGGTTGTAGACCCGACTGTCGTCTTGTTTCTTACTCACACGGTCTCGAAAAGACTAACGGACGGTTGTTAGCCTTTTGACAGGTCACAACCTAATGAAATTTTTGAAAAGGTATACTAACAGGTTAAACAGGTTTTTAACAGGTTAAAACATCAATGTCAGGACGCTGCCCCACCGGCATCAATAATCGTTTAAATTGTATTGTCTAACTTCTTTTATTTTTTATTATTGTTTTTATTTAGTCTTTTTTTTTTTTATAAATATTGCTCGTACATATTATACACATACTAATAATGGACTACTCGTTATTATTCACCTTGCCACGCAAACGCGCTGCGATCAAGAGTTGCCAATGCGGCACAAGGATTTTGACAGCGCTCCATTCRTGGCATCGTCAAGGCGTCACATGCCACTGACAGCGGTGACTGACACCCGTTGATTCACTCGGCGACCGCTTGACATACATGCAACTGTAGTGGTAGTAGTTGATAGCACTAGTATGTGGCAGCAGAAGTGAACGTCCAGTTAACAATGCCCAACCGCAAATTACAACATTTGTGGTGAGCGCCCGCTGGCGCGCGACCTACAGCGAATTATACGGTTAGTTACCGGTGAAGGGAGAGAAAAGTTAAAAAGAAAATGAGCAACGAACAAATGGAAAACAAAAAGTATGTGAGAAAAGAGCTATGAGCCCATACTSAGTGAATATCAAACTGCAGCAATTACTGAGACTGTAGCCGTTGGTGACTGGGATGCTACGCTCGTAWGCTACCCATGCCATGCCCGCACACAATTCACSGGGCAGTAGTGCCGAATAGTGCRCGCCACCACCAACCCCTCCGGCGACACTGCCGCTACGTCTACACAAGTGCATAATTTATATGCATGCAACACATTTATAACTGACGCGGCATTGCATTTGCGGCGCCGCTGCCCTGCGCATCGCATCGCCAGTCGAGTTCATTTGGCACACAGCTGGCGTYGGCATTTATTGTTGCTGTTTGCCATTGAAGTTTATGGTACGCTTACGGGCAAAGTGYCCGCGCTTATGTAKAGATGTGTGTGTGCGCGTGTGTGTTTACATTTATGTTTGTGCCACAACTAGGCTGTCTGCATATTTGTGCACTTTGAACTTAACTTTAATTTTGCGCGCATTTCTCATGATTCTCGCAATTTAAGTGCCGCGCCGCACTTGTGGCACATAAAACGAGCCGCGCTGGTGCGGCATTGTGCTTTGCCGCGGCCTAAAGTCATTGCAACAGAAAGAAAAATGCATGCTTTGCRCTTGGCTTATTGGCATTTTCCATGCCATCAACCAAACTCCCGTCCAACTTCCGACTTCCGCTGAGTGTTGGCARTAGCCGGAAATTGCTTCAAACTACATGCGCATATGCACAAACACAAACACACATTTGTGGCGGCACATGCATATGCAATATACTGCCAGCATTTAGTAGAGCAGCAGCGCATTGTTGCCCCAATTACCTTGTAGGCCTCAATTCGCCAACGCCGCGTTGAAGTTCTAAAATTCTAATTTCACCTTTTAACTGGCGAATTCGCATCCGATTACCAGCCCATTTGCAGCGCACGCACACACACATACACAATATGTGTTCACATAGTTTTCAAATTAAAATCTGAAGTTTGATCGATACTATTGAGCAACGCCAATCGCCGTTCCACCGGCGCTGCTGGCAATGGCCCATACAAAGCCSCCGACAGCGTGTATTGGCGCCGTCCACCAAGCCGCAACCTCCCAKCCCCTCCCTCTACTTGACGCTGCTGTTCCACATTTAGCTCTGACTAAACCACTTACACTCCCTGTGGCCGGTTCTCATGGGCGCATTTATGAGCCATGAGCTGTGAGCTCTGCGCCACGAGTCACTACCACAAATGGCATTAGCGGTCACTTTGCAGTTAACAGCTCACTTGGCAAGTGCCGCTTTTGTGTTGCGCATCGTATTTCACGGTGTAAAAGAAAATTATTCATTTCAAACGTGTGCGTGTGCGTGTGTGTGTGTGAAAAGTTAAAGCAACAATGTCCACCATCGATGAATTGGAAGATGAGGAGGAATGTCCAGCTAGCGCAATGTCGTCGGTGCAGTCCAATGATCCACGCCTTGAATTCATCAGCTCATTTACATTGAGTTCATTGCGACTGAAGCAGGACAAGTGGCATCGTATGATGGCTACCGACTCGTTTCGTGTAAGTTTGTTTTTTCGCAATCGAAAGAATGATTGCTTAGACTTCTGTTTCTTCTTTATTGGCGTAGACCTAAGACTTCTAGGTTGAACTTTAGACTACTAATTCGAATTGTGATCTGCTGTTAGAATCAAAGTAGCTGCCCTTGAGTCGCAGCGAAATTATTTTATATCAAGCTCTCGGCGAAGCTATTATTATTTAATCACTCTATCAATTTTTCTCGTTTCTTCTGATCATAACAGAGATCAGACGGGTTTCTTTCCAAATTTCTATATGCGAAACGTAGAATTTTATCTTATTCCTCATTATCGCTTTTATTTGTTAGAACTTAGGTAAATGGGCCAAGAGCTGGTTGAACTCGCAAAGCTTCTTAGCTCGGAATTTAGCCAGGATTTCTTATACTATGTAGATGTATACAGTTAAGTCCAAATGAATTACTGTGACCTAGAGAGCTAAAGAATGTAATGAAGAGTGAACCAGGAGAAAATTCGCAAGTGAGAATGTCACCAACTACTGACCCAAACCCTTGGATATCATCAATAACTATAAGCAAGAGGACAGACTTTAGAAGTTCTAATAAAATAGGATGTATGTCAGACGTCGCACAAATGAAAGCATTCATATATACTACAATTCGTTGCAGTAAACCCAAACTAGCTGCAACATAGACATACCTCTAAATGTCTCACAAAAACTGTAAACCCCTACAACCCTTCAAAAAGCGATGAAGTCTTCTAGTAACCAAGTTAGATATTAGCAGCTTCATACCACAAACTAAGCTTCATTCAGTAATTTATTATACAAAGACATGCGTAGCTTTAAAACTTCAAAATTCCCGAAAAATTATTCCCATTTGAAGGCGCTAAGCCGTAGCCTTCACAATTTTCCAGGTCATTATGTTTGATTGGTTGCACAACGCGCAGCAGCGCCTCTTAGTTATGACGCTCAATCATAGCGGATATTTGGTACCGAAAATTGCGCTCAGTGAGTTGCACCACAATTATGCGGCGCAATCAACCTTGAGCTCCACACCAACGCCACCAACAACAGCGAGTGTCATATCAGCAACACCAACTGCCATCACGGATTCGTACGCCGCGTTAGCCAATCCAGTTGACCACGCAATGGCTGCAACAGCAGCAACTTCCGAGCCAACAGCTAAATCTAATGATGTAGGCCCACCAAGCAAAGCCGCCAATATAACAAGCTCGGCTGCCATTGTTGCGTCGGCAGCTGCTGTGGCCGCCGCCGCTGTGCTGACGCTACCAATGCCACCAGCTTCTAGTAGCTTCTCCACACTAGACGGTGTGCCGCGCGGCAAATGCGTTTACTTTGTGCGTCGATGCGCGAACATACCATTAACCGCAGCTAATTTCCGTACGCAAATACTCTGTGGCGATTTGCCGGTGCACAGCAAAATAGAAACTTTATCGCTGCTGTTCGATGAAGTMTTTCAGCCTTTGCTCGAGTGTCCGCCAAATCGGAAATCGTGGCCGAAGCCGGTGCAAAAGGATTTGCAAATGCACATTAAAGAGGTGCGCAACTTGCTGGTTGAGGTGAGTAAATTTGAGTGAACAGTTTCATTTAAGATTTAAGTGCACATTACATAGCGAAACACAAGTACTTAGCTTGAACACGTTTTATAAATTCTATAAAATTAGATAATTTTAAAGTATTTAGTTTTGTGTGCGTGTGTGCTAATAAGACTACTAGACTACTTCATTAACATTCATGTTAGTACTTTTGGTAAGCCTGAAAACAATACTGAACTGTCTGCACTCATATTTCGGGCTCCGGCGAAGTCGATCAGCCTCAAACACATTTAGTGTTCGATATGGAGGCTGAATTTACCGACCATTGTGCCAAAAACACCTTCTTTGCCGTCTTAGTCATAGTGCCATCTATCGCACTTCTAGGATCGCGGTGAGGTCAGCCTTTACTCTCACGAGGACATCAACCACCTACCCAATTAAGGGACTGGACAATAACATTGGACATGAAGCTGTTTTGCTCTTTTATTGCGGAGTTTTCTTTACGTGGCGAATCCCAAATCCAGCGCACAACCAATTTCTCAATTTACCTCGCCTTGAAACGGATGTTTTTTGGCTACCCAAGCAATACTTGGTTTAAAAGCGGAAGCCGTGTGCTCCCTGGCTACTCCCAAGTGAATGGCAGTCAGAGAACTTTTTTCACTTGCGTGAACTTATACACATGGATCCATCCTCCATTAGTTTAGGTCAGTTATTTTTGGTATTTATTTGAATCCACTACAAGCGCTCTTTTTCATAACTGCATGGAACCAGGTGCTTCATTTTCATCGGCGATCGCCTCTTCAGTCGACGGAAATTGCTTCCCAGCGAGCCTTTTTTGAATTTTAGGGACAGGAAATAGTCGTTGTGCCTGATTCTAGAATACGGTGATTACGGAAGCAAATCAAAGCCCAATTATTGGTTTTTGTCATCGTTTTCACGGACTTGTGATACGATGCATTGTCTTAGCAAAATCGCACTTTCTTTTTCTTGGGATTTGAAGCGAGTTTAGACTTCGGAGTTAAATTACGGCGCCATGTTTCATCCTGTGTCATATATCGACATAGAAACTCGCGTTTATTGGCTTCAACATCTCCAAACACTGCTCCGAATCATCAACTCATCATGGTTTTTGATCAAAAGTGGGCTTGAGCGGCGATTACTTTGTACAGAGCTCTTCACGATCAGTTAAGTGCCGGATATCTCGGTCAACTCCACTTTACGGTCATACAAACTTATTTTGTGTACTTTTTTTAATATTTTAGTTGGCAACACACTCCTTTGGGCGACCACTGTGTTCATCGTCTTTGGTGCTGATTTTACCACGAGGAAACTTAAGTTTGACTCTGGTAAATTTGACTCCGGATATGGGCAGGTACTTTTTTTTCTTGCTCCACTTTCATTCGATTTTAATTAACGACCCTCTAAGTAGTGATCGCGCATTCCCCTCATTGTAAGACATTCTCCAAATAGACTTAGAGACTGTTATCTACAGCCGTGAATCGGGTCTTTAAGCACTATGTTGATCTGTGGTCGTCGCCAGCTTATCATTTCCAACGTAACGGTAAGCTATGAAATACCGCAATCACACCGGCGTCACCAATATCACATGGCAATGCCAAAAACCGCTTTGCGGCTCCCTTTTAGCATCCTTACCCCTTATAGCTTTCGTGTAGTTCATACACATATTTTATAGTCCCAGCAAATAAGCCTTGCACACAACCCTAATTTAACTAAAGCTTTAATAACCGGCAAGAACAAGCCTCTTCCCACATAGTCTATCCGTTTCTATGCCTCCATGTTTTTGTGTGTATTTGCATTTTCATTAATCTAATTGAGAATATCACACACAAAAGAGCAGCTTCTATGAAAGGCGAGTACGGGAGGGAGGTGCANGTTTTTGTGTGTATTTGCATTTTCATTAATCTAATTGAGAATATCACACACAAAAGAGCAGCTTCTATGAAAGGCGAGTACGGGAGGGAGGTGCAACGGACCATCGCACACATGAAGGAGTTGTGTGCGTGCCTATTTTTGCTAATTGGCAAAAGTTTTCCTCACTGACTTTTATATTATACCCGTTATTGTTCTATGGTTTGYTTTTGCCGTTGTTGTTGTTGTTGACGAAAGTTTGAGCTGGAAMATATTTACACGGATGTAAAACTAGTCAAATGAGCAGCACCGTGTGGAAGTGTGTAATAATTGTTGGTGTTAGTGGGTGTATGACAAGCGAGGGTCTCCATAACAATGCTGTTATTGGGTCGAGGAATATAGTTAGCCTTCGCACGCACGTGCTTAAACTATAACTCACGCAAACCGAGCATAATAAGCTCAATTCGTACTTATTCTATTTCCATTATGTAATTTTTCGTATCTTTTTTTGCGAGCACCTACTCAGATCAAGGGAAAGACCAACAACCGCACAATTTTATCATTATTAGTTGCGCCGGCAGTCATCGAAGAAGTGGCAACACACGTTAATCAAGGGTAAGTGAAATGCCGAGCGAGCGAACAATATATGGTGCAAAAAAAGTGAAGGTACATTTTGAGTATTTTTGTTGTTTTAAATATAATTCTTTCTATTTTTGATTTAATCTTCAACATTTTATAACGATTTTGTGGTTGTAGTCGAAATTTAGTATTAGGAATGGGATTTCGAAAATTTTCAACTACAACATATATATGTAAGCTTTATCTGTACTTAGTGCGTTGGATATGGTGCTTGGAAATCGCCAGGAAATTATAAGAGAGAAGGCAAGAGTACTTGACACCTCTCGTGAGTTCGTTCGATTGATTTTGGTGGATATTTTTATACCCTGAACAGGGTATATTAAGTTTGTAACGAAGTTTGTAACACACAGAAGGAAGGGTCGAGACCCCATAGAGTATATATGTATAGGATCCGTATTTCGAGCTGAGTCGATTTAGTCATGTCCTTCTGTCCCTCACTTTTTAAGATATCCTTTTGAAATTTTGCAAACGTCACTTTCTCTTCAAGAAGCTGCTCATTTGTCGGAACTGCCGATATGGATCCACTAAGATATAGCTGCCATACAAACTGAACATATAGTTACTAACAGAAATGCACCTGTGAAGGGTATTTAGCTTCGGTGCAACCGAAGTTAACGTTTTTTCTTGTTTTGGTATGAAAAGAGTTTTTGCTCGACTCATCCCGATGAAGCAAATAGCAAATTTTTTTTCAAAAAGGGTACCGTAAACAGGTCTCTTTGGACATAGTTACTTGATCGTGCGAATTCCAATCCCACATAAATTGAGAGCATTAAAATTGCCGATGAGTTTGGCATGCAAACAAGTCAACCATCATCGGAATGGAGGAAAAAACAAGCCGAAACTAAGAATACCACGCGAAAGCCGCTCAAAAATTAGGCGCATTACTTTTTTCGATCTTCTTTATCGATTGTCCAGTGAGAATTTCATGACATTTCAAAGATTGGAAGTGAGGTTATTGCGTTTTAAGTGTCAGTATGTTGTTGCTATCGGTGCGAAAATGAGCTTCGAACAAAGAGCCAACATTTATTTTTGTTTCAAAATTGGTAAAACTTTTACCAAAATGGTTCAATTGATGATGACGCCTATCCCGCAGCAGAGTGCACGAGTGGTTTCAACGTTTTCAAAGTGATCGTGAGAACATAAATGACAATCAACATGTGAGCCAATCAAAATCCGTGATCATCGGAAATTACATCAAAGCTGTGCGTGAATTCATTAAAAACAGAAGAAATCATCATTGAAATTCATGGAAATGGAATTGAACATCTTCAAAACATCAATTTATCGCATTTTGACTGAACATTTGGGCTTAGTAAAGGTGTGTGCACGATTTGTGCCGCACAAATTGACTGMCAACCAAAAATTGCTCAGAATCCAACATTCGATCGACGCTTGTGACCGATTATTTGACCAAAAATCACATTTTAACCATTAACCACTCCCCGTATTCACCTGACTGAARCAGAAGGAGACTATTTTGAATAAAATAAATTGATTTTGCCRAAATAACCATTTGTTCTGTGTTTTTTGGAACCCTCCTTGTAGTTCGGTCGATTACAGCGGTTACGCCGGTTTTTAGATTAGGCTGGGCGGAACCACGTAAAAAAGATGTAAAGACACACTCTAAATGCATTTAAGTTTTACAATGCGAAATCTGAATATTATTTAATAAGCCCTTGCTAATAGCTCATTAATCGCTGTTTATGCCGCAAAGAATGTGCGTTAATTATATGTATACTATTATATATTATTTATTGCTTTGAAATTTAGCGTCATCTTCACTTCACAATCGAATTATGTAAATTACTTAAAACTATATACAATTAATTTATAATGCGCCCAAAGGTATGCTTTTATAAAACTGCTACCGTGAGATAACAAAAACTCKAATTTAGTTTTAAATTATAAATTACCTTCGGAAAGCTTCATACTACTGATGAAATCGGAGATTAAGCTTGCATTTATTTTTCCATCTACAATAATAATTATTTTTTTCTCTACCGTTATGCCAAGGGTGGCCGAAAGCGCTTCACCGACAGATAAGGCAGAAWAAACTAAAATGCTTGCTGTCCTAAACCGTTACTACTTCAGCTTAGCGAAATTCRGACACCAGAAATGTAAATTAATTGTAAATGGATTACTTAAGCAGACCGGCGGAGAAGAATGCAAAGTAAAAAGAACAACAAACTTCGTTGTGGAAAATACRAATTCACTTCGAACTGGTACAATGGGGTGCGTTCATGTAATAAGCACATTGAAAAGTGAAAGAATTTAGGTTAGCGATTAAATGGTCGATCGTAGCAGGGATCTTACTTGGTCAGCTTAGAACGCCGGTCCATTTTGATGCCTAAAACTTTTATATAATAGATTAGGGGACCTTTACACATCGTCAAAGCGCTTTGATCCTATCAAAAATATCAGTTTTGTCTATTTGTCTTGGTTCGCCGATGGTAAGACTGTCGAGAAGTTTCATCCACAGTTTTGCAAAGACTGGACAATGGAGAAGAAATAAAGTGGATATTTCCACCTCACCATCCTCTATAACACTTTGGCAACTTGCGGCCGTCACTAGTAGTTCACCTTCTACCTTATGCCAAAAAGATATTGCAGTCGCACAGGAACCSCGCTCAAAGACTGATAAGCTCAGGTAAGGTCCGTTGGTCTACTACTAGAATGCAAGTTGCCAATATAGATCTAACTGAATCCCACCMCAATGTGAGCGGAACAAGGGTACTCACCCTGGGCAGCTTGTGGCTTTGCAGTTGCCAGCGTTTAGAACAGCGCTAGTATTGCGGCTCTGAAAATAATTTTTCGTTTTTATTGCMGTGTGCTATAGATCTTATCTACCCTTTAATTCAAGACTGGTACACAAATTAGAAGAAAACCCTGGCCCTTCAAGCATATAGGATGCTGGCCCCTGATCGATCATTTGAGAATTCGACAAAAAAGTGTGCAAAAAGTTATTGATTACAGCTYCCTCGGTCGTTATCGATATCATAAGATATTCCGTCTTTCTTCGACAGACTTAATCGCTACAAGACTTTATGGCATGTACAGTTTTGCCAACTCTTTYCTTACCGTCGCCACACTGTGCCATAACTAATACAAACTTTAGTATACACAACAACTTCTACGCCGTTCGCACTACATGTAACCAGGCACAAACCATTTCGCCGGTTCTCACCAACTTTTCACAATAACAGAAAAGCACTCAGCGCTGCAGCTTTCGATTCCATGCTAATCCCTGTTCCAATATTTATTTTTACTTTATTGATTTGCTTGAAATTTAAATTTTGGCTGCTGCCGCTGAGCCAACGAGAAACGTAGTCTCGAACCGGCGATTAGACGAATCCTCGATTGACGAAACGTGCCTGAGTATTGAATGAAATGCAAATCAATCGAATGAAACGGCAACAGCTTAACATTTAAAGCCGCATCCATCCATGTCCTCCATTCCATACGGCCGTTGGTCACTTTGCACGAATAAAGCATAAACAACCTTAAATAGGTCAATGAACACTTTGAGTGTGTGCAGGTTACGAAACGCGGATTGACGTCGAGTTAAGTGCGAAAGGCAAAATGCAATAAGCCAAAGGAGCATTTATGTGGGGCATAAACGAAACGGAAGGAGTAAAGTGAGGTGGAAGTTGGCAGCGTCGGCAATGTTGACGAAGAACAAAGAGAAAAACCGAAACACAACGATGTGCCGTTTAACTCTTTCCGAAGTGAAAGAAGTTTGGGCAGACAAAAAGTAATTAACGAAAGTTCATACGAGTTGAATGACAATGGCCTAGGGATAGTGTTGCGTACACCGTTTGATTGCCTCTGCTTACCATATTTGAATCGCTGTTGAAAATGTGGTAAAAGTTCAATGACTCGATTCGTTGTGGGTGAAAAACCGTTGGCATGAGACAACCGACGACCAGCATATGAGCGCATATTAGTACTAAACTGAGGCTAATCAAGGAGTCTTTCTGCTGAGCATATTGAAATCAACTCGACAGCTATTTTGCGRCTTAACTGACTTAAATTTCCCGTTAATTTTGAGGTTTTCAATAAAGAACTTGAAGCCTTTCGTTTGAGTTTGAAATCATCACATTCGAGCTGGCTCGTTTTCCTTGAAGCGTAGATAGAAGTACAGGACTTATTCAGTTCGTAATATATTACATGGAGAGGCCTTACTAGAAGAACAAAATTAAAATCAGACCACAAAGAATGTTTTTTTTTCTTTCTACTTAATAATTCAATAATTTCGCCCTCAAGTTAATTACTTACCCTTCCGCACCTTTCATTTCATTCTTAGTAATCTCGCACCAGCCATCGAGCCCAAGTTTCGCACATCGCTTGAGGAGATGTACATTAACTGGACAACACAGATACATGATATAATTATCGAAAGATCCGAATGCCATAGTAGTAATGTTCCAGCAAGAAGTAGCAACCAGCCAATCAAGAGTGTAGTGCTTGTGACTCTCCCCGCGCACGAAATCGCCTACTGGTCTAACCGCAAGCAAAATTTGCAAAATATTTACGAACAATTACGCACACCGACACACAAAACACTCACACACATAYTGCGCAGCATCGATTCACCCTACTACGAGCCTTTCGTGAGGGTCTTTAAGCGTTTGGTATGCGCTTGGCACGAGGCCGAGGACAACACGTTGTGGCTGCAGCCGTTACTACGTCAAACAGCCGCTTTTAACGCTGTCAATTTTCACGCCGCCGGCGAATTGGTGAATCCGCTCGTRCATGTGCTGCATCTCATTTGGACCCATGCGCGCTACTACCGCAGTACGCAACGTATGAGGGTGCTGCTGCGTTGCGTATGCCACTTGTTGGTACGGCGCGCCAGCGAGGATTTGGATTTCCCACTACTCTTTCAAGGTGACGCCGATGAGGGTTTGTCCAAGATAACCAAATCGATGGAGGTTATGGAGCAGCTAAAGTAGGCTATTAGTTGCTGAATTTCAAGATGARCCGTAAGTGTACTCTTTCCTCATTTCAGGTCACGTTTGTTGGAGTACAAGGAGAAATATTCCAGCAATCAGCAGTTGTTGCCCGCCATACCCAGCACATCCAGAATGGCCGCTTCAGCTTCTTCTGACAGCAGCACGGAGGCTTATGAGCTCTGGCGCTTCTCGCCCGACGATGTGTTTGGTTGCACACTTGACGGGTTTTTGGCGCAGTTGTGCGATATGCGCACACTATTTGAGGCTGCAGTGTCGTTTCAAAATCTCGAGAAAATAGAATTTGGCGGGCTGCGTGGCAAACAACTGAACGAGCGTGTAAGACAGGTGAGTTACAGTTTTTCTATGCCTTTAATATGCCTCTACAATATTTGTGTAAGAGCTTATAAGCTCTTACCTATCCGGATAATTTGTCATTCCTTTCTATAACTTTCACTCTGATCGCTGAGCTGAGCTTAGCATTATCCGACTCATCTTAAGATGCACGCCTTGTTTGCTATTACAGAAAGTTAATCCGTCTCAAGATTTATTTGGTTTCCAGAGCCTCGGAGAGGCCTTTCCACCTCTGTCAGAACTATCCATACCATTTCATATACTTAGGTCTTTAAAGAAATATTATGATTTAAAGATTTTTCAACGGATGATCCTACSACGAACGGACCGCAGAAATATTGTCAATAATGGCAGAGCTTAGTTGGTCACTTTCAACGCATACCAAAGATGAGAGTTTTTAGTCATTCCCTTCTCTTTTTTGGTGGCATAAACTCCGCTTACGGGTACTTCAGCTTCTTCTCCACCTGAYCTTTCGAACGAAGGGTGYTCTTCCTTTTCCTCTGCTTGCCCGGCGGGTACTGTTCTTTAATTTRCTGAACTGTGTCAATGTCTTCGTACATCTGTACTGTACATCGTTCCATCGATTGCGGTATTCGCCATTTCCAATGCGCAAAGAACCACAAACCTCCCGCAGAACCTTTCTCGTAACGCTTACTCATCAGGTGCTGTAGTCTTCTATGTCTCTGTACTTTATCGAGAGTACCTCTCAACTGAGGAATCAGTCCGAAGTAGCACCAAGAATTAYTCTGCCTTAGATTTTGAGACGAAGTTATCTACGACTTTGAAGTTATGAATATCAGCGATTGTTTGTTTGATGACCGGTAAAACATTTCACCTTGCCCYCGTTCACTACCATACATGGCCTGTCACAGAAATTAGTTTATATTGGCTGAAATAAAAGCGCTCTGCAGAAAAATAATTAACGGTATCAGATACGGAAGGTATTGCAAGGTTCAAAACCCAAATGTTTCGGAAATTATTGTAGGAAATCATTGACGTTTTCACCGTCCGTTCTGTGAGACTCTGAGCTTCTTGGCTTCAAACTTAGGTTGATTTCCGTAAGCAATCACCAATAAGCCACTTTCATTTCTAACATTTATTCTGATCACACCATGGACAGAAAAATTAAACTCCATGCAATGCACTCACACTTTCACAGTAAATGAAACTTGATATACCTCTCGACACAGGTGCACACACAATTCAAGGAGCACTTTGAGCAATGGACTCTAAACGAATTCGATGCAGCACAGTTGGATACGCAATTGCCGAGCAGCAGCAAATGGACGCACTTTAAGCGACAGCTCCGTAACTTCTTCGCACATATACACACGCTGGAACAGAAGTTGGCAACGATATTCGTGCAAGCGTACAAGGATTGCCAAAACTGGGAGCAATTAACCAAGGTGTGTCTGACTTTAATGTTCAAATTATTTGCCATTTCACTACTTCTCTCTCTCTCTTTCTTTTTTGCCCACACTTACACCCGTTCTCCGACGTGTTTGTGTGCTTTCCAGCTAACGGTAATGCTTGGCAGTGGCATCCTACAGCGAGGCACAATTCTACCGGAACTTCGTGTCATTGAGTCACAACTTCTTCATATCTACGACGACGAGTTGCAGCAGCTGGAGACTTCAGCGCATAAAGTGCTGCTAGAATTTGAATTTCGTGGTGTGTCTGCCATACCGATTCAGTTGGGATTTCCACCTACCGCCGGCGCTCTAATGTGGTTGGAACAGCATATGCAACGCATAGACGCCCTGACGTCGCGTGAACTGCATAATTTTATGAAGACAATGTGAGTACAGAGCACAGTTATAGCTACTATATATACATATTCGTATGGATATCTGCACATATTACTTGCTGAAGCTCAATGAGGTGATGCAATCGATTGGAATTTGTACTCATTCGCATCAACTGAGTAGGCAACTACTTACCTGCTTCACGCATATTTTCAGCCGCTGTGAGTTTCAATAGCGTTCACTACGTTCAGCACGTTAAAGGTTGTAACGGTAAACTGCGTAAAGCTGTGGTAGAGTTTACTCACAGATAGGCATTAGTACATGTGAAATATTTGCATTCATAGCAAGGCAAAAGTGTGGAAGGMCATACTGGTTGTCTGGTCTACCGGTCTTTCAAAAGGAATTCCGACGATCGAATGGCGAGATTGATAGGCCGTTTCCCACGTCTACTCACCAGGAGGGGTTCTCAGCTACGTTGCTAAGCATCACTTTTACTACCTCTGGTTGAGTTAGATGGCTGATCAGACATCGCATATGGACTACTATTTGTAGTAGGGTGCTCGAAAATTAAAATTTTTTAATTTTTTTAATTTTTTTAATTTTGTTTTTTCAACTCTTACCCCCTCAAACGTTAGTGGTTGACAAACAAAAAATTCTCCCTCATGCCAGGAGCTGTAGCTTAACTCTAAGGGTTTTTTTTTTTTTTGTTTTTTTTTTTTGTTTTCTTTTTTTTTGTTCCCATACATTTAACATAGGAATTTTCGTTTTCACCAATTAATTTGAAAGTAAGTATGTTTAAGCCTTGACCTCCCAAATGCGGAAACAGTCAAGAAGAAAGTGTTGATTGGTTTCCACCTCATCTTCTTCCATACAGCTCTAAAGCTGGCGTCTGGTAGGATTCCCAGCCTTACAGCGTGAACGCCAACATCTCAAAAACATGGAAGGGGCTAGCCTTACTGAGGACAAAAAGATCCCTAGGTCTCTTGCGATCGATCTTGGGCCAAAAGGCTTTTGAGACACCGTATGTACCGATGGTGGCCCAGCCCTGGTCAAGTTTCCTCAAAGCCCAGCTATCTACAACACAAGAGGATACGAGCGACTCGGTCACATTCTACAGATAGCGGTTATAGRCTACCTTTTATTGTTAGCTCATCAGCTTTACAATTTCCTGCAATTCTGCTGTGGCCTGCCACCGATACCAGTCTTATCACAAAGGCACTTAAAGCATTGCTATTGTTAGTGAGGTTAGGCAAGAGATGTTGAGCTCCGCGGCTATCTCCTATCTGCCAACACAATGAATTTCAAGCGCTGTTTCTTTGATTTATCGATCACGAGCGACTGGCATGAGACAAGTTTTCGATGACTCCATGACCTTCACTAAATGTTTTGTGCTACTTCTGTTCATAATTAAGTAAACTCGCCAAAACATGTTGAGAAACTCTTATGGTTTCGATACGAGTCTTCCTGTCTGGATAGGATATTATCAACAGCAGTTTGATCAGATAATTCCTTTTGCTTTTTCATATTTGAAGTGTTACTAACTAGGAAAATGTATGGACCGAAATTAGTGCATATAAAAGTTTTTAGGAAGCATCCAAGTCCAACTATAGGAGTTTTCCTGCTTCACAAGGGCCTGACCTAAGCAGGCTAAGGGTAACTCACTTCTTAGAAATCAGCTGGAAGCTGGTTCCACCTAGACTTGAGTTCATTCTGACTGTCTGTTAGAAGGAAGCAGGCATTATCTGAAATTTTTCTATTACTTACAGTTGGTTACTTTGGAAGCATCGGAGATCAAATCAACTTATTTAGAATAACAAGACGTTATAGTCTGGTTATGCTTTTCATAGTTTATTTTTCCAAAAAATACATTAGTTTGCACCATCTTTTGTAGTATAAACGAGAGTATGGTCGCAATAGAAATATGCTCCAGAATTCTAAAACAGCGAAGAAAATTCAATTTAATCCACTGAGGGTCCTCCAGTGCTAAATCATTGTTAACACACGTTGCCTACAATTAGGTTTTCCTCTCAATATTAGCGAAGTCACACACACAATGATTAGTTAATATTTTCAATCAGCAAATATAAATCGCGATTTTAATAATACCTGCCAAAATTTAGTAACCCTCCTAAAATCTCATGAAATAATTTGGAAATGAACTAAGGTATAAATTAACGAAACAACAGAGGCATTGAGGGTTTGGCTTGCACCAGATCCTACTTTCGTTATTCAATYAATTCTCTTTTAGCTTTACTCACAAACGATTAACACGAAATTCTTCGTAGACTCTTTAACGCCGACTTTCCAACCGGAAACAACGAAACAATTAGCAACAACAACAAAACGGAATACAACGAAACTCAGCATGAAGAAGGTGTTGCCGGTGAAGGGAGCGTTAACTCAGTAAATGCCTACCGACGACTAAATACGCGACGTGATATTTTGACAACAAAGCTTAGCAATTTGCAGTTGAAAATCTGGCACAATTGGCAGCAGACCATATGCAAGAGGATAGCCGACGGACTTGATGCACGTGTGATGACCCTCGGCGACAACAACAGCAACAGCCAAAGCAACAGCAGTTACGGCAGCCGTCATTTGAGCGGCGCTAGTGGAAATTACACCTTTGGCGCAAATTTTCGCAGTGCAATCACCACAGCGTTGGCACATTCGCGCAATCACAATAGCGACAACAACAGCAACAGCAAAACTCACATGGGTGTTAGCAAAACCAACAACAACGATAACAAACAAAACCGCAGCGGCATCAAAGACGCGMYGAAATCGAATGYAAAGGCAAAATCACTGCAAATGAATTTCTCATCGGATTTATTTGGACTTTTGCAAGAGGTCAAGCATGTGCTGGCAATGCAGCAGGCAAGCGGGATGCGGCGCGGCWGCAACGACATTAGCGTCAACAATCTATCAACGTTTGAGGCTGCCGGCGTTATGGCAACCACTCAGGCTCAACACGAGCTTGAAAATCAATCAGCGACGTTGCGGGAGGCAGCGGAAGCGGCTGGGGAATTTGAAGATAGCAACTGCATGGAGTTGGCAGCAGCGGTAACTGCGTCACCGACAGCCGCTACAAATGCATCGTTAACACAGCAACAAGGACCGAATGCGTTGGCGAGCAATTTGCTGGATTTGTACGCCGAAAGAGACGAGTTTTGGCAACGCAAAGTGAAACTCATCAAAATCTGCGAATTCTACAATGGTATTCGTGGTCTGTCCACTGATGACGCTTGTGTTGACGGCATTATTGGTAGCGCTGCTGAGTTGCAACTGATTCGCCACGAAGTGAATACAATTGACGAACGCGTGGAAGTGGCATGCGCTACGCTCACATGGCGCACGTATGGTAAGCGATGAACGGCAAAAGCGACACTAAAAAAATGTGGTTAGATGATTGTTTCAAAGGGTAAACCGATGAAGACTCTGAATGGCAATCAATTTAGTATGAAACGATGTATAAAGAGAAGTAAACACTTGGATGAAAAGTTTTAAATTATCGCATAGGAAACTGGTTATTATTGTAGTTAGTTGTGCGAGTTGGATTTGGACTGTTACTCTACACCCAACAATCTATTTTTTTTAATGAAAAGCTCGAAATGGCGAGAAKAGTTCATATCAATATGTCCCTGCTCGTACTTCCTGCAAAATTTTGTCAAAATTTTAGGCAATGGCCCACAAGACGGGTTTAAAATAATAACTACAATAATCTAAATCAGCCTATCATCTGGTTTGGAAAACCCAGTCTTGCATAGAGAGTCAAAAATTTGACCAAAATTTTACAAAAATATTTCACCAGACACTTCTTTTAAAYAATCAAAACCAAATTTTGCACTTATGATTTCCTTTAGACAAGGTTAGGTTAGGTTAATCTAGCAGCCCAATAAGCCAAGCAAAGACCAGTTTTGGTTCTTTGCGATACCAGATGTAGTTCAGTTACTACGTCTATGAGGAGTAGTCATCCTTTAGGATGAATTTTAACATGTTCTATAGCCTCACTACCGATACCTCCTCACGTGCATCATACCCTGGGACCCCAGATAAATACTGCATAGTCTTGCCAAAGYGGTACAAGAGTACAAGAGATACCCCATTGCTTCCCTAGTGTCTTGGTCTAAACATTTCTGCAGTCTTCCCTTCAAGTCGTGTGTCGACACCAGGCAGTTACCAATTAGTATTCCGATAATGTTCCTAAATTCTCGATATCGAGTGCTAATAGGAATTTCTGAACTAATTGTTTGCGCATGGCATTTACAGTTTTGAACCCAGATAGCTCAAATTTCAGAAAGAGTAATATCAGCCAATACCACGAAGTTAGTACAGATGTCAATCTTTCATCAAATCTGCAGAACATATTTAACAAAATCGATTTTCAAACTTTATTTCTACTGGACTAACACCACTGATAAAATATTACAACTTATTGTGTTTCAGAAACATCATACATCTTACAAATTAGGCCCTTAAAACAATGATTGAAAAGCGCTTAATCTAGATCAGGAACTTAAATATCTCTAGCTATATTAGGCAAACAACGAAGTGCACTCCCACACACACAGGCAGACAACTATCAATCAGTGAAATAGTCTACTCCATATGCTCCTACTAAATTCCGTTATCACATTTCAGCGATTCACTCCCTTCAAATTTGCTTTTCACACACAGATACGGCATTGATGCATGAAATCTATGAGCGTTCCAAACGACTCTATAATCGCCTCAAGCAAACACAGCACAATCTACTGGCTATCATACAAAGTATACGCCGCTGGAGTCGGGAGCCACTCTACCAACGTTGCGCTTACGGGCGTAACCTATTAGACGCACAACAGCAGCAGGAACGGTTACGACAACGGCGCGTGCAATGCGACGAGACACGGCGTCTATTGAATCGACTGTTGATTGCCAATTTCTGTTTATTTTTCGATTATGACCAGCAGAGCGGCGAGTTTGAAGGGCGTGACGACCAATGCATACAGGAGGTGAGTTTTTCTTTTGTTGTCTGTGTATGTCTGGAAGTTTTGTGCTTACACGCGGCAATGGTTTTTGTAGTTCTTACGCAAGTTCCCCACTGCTCAACGACGCAGCTACAACAAGTATTTAGCCGGTGTGGAGGCATTGATTAGTCAGGAAGTGCGCATGGCTATTAAAGTCAGGTGATCAAATCCGTCACATACTTCAAGTTCTGGCACGTCACAAGCTGACATAATCGTTGTCAATATGCACTTTAACTTCTGGTTCTATTGTGGCATACCAACATCATCTCTTCGTTAAATTTTATTTGACGTTAATAATAACTTATCATGTGATATCACATAATCATTTTCCTATTAAATCTCATCATTCAAATTTAATAAATTATCAGGATATTTGCTTCACAATAACGTATCATAACACCAAGATCTAAAAGTCATGACTATCATATCGCATCACATCGTGCCGGACGGCATCATAACAGCACTTATATGTCTGAGCAAAATCATCATGTGGTCAAGTCACAATATATGTATATGTATTATACTCTAATAATAATTTACCTCACATTATCAGCAAMGCATCACATCGTAGCATTAGTCTGCGCAAAGATGTGTCATCAATGCCAACATGTCACTTATCATCATGTTAATTCAAATCGCATCACTAAGATCATCATCATAATCACGTGGTATTAAAATACATCACATTCTGTAATATCACCTCATTTCACATCAAAATTTTTATTATCACATTACATCATGTAGTTGAAACAATTTTAGAACCAAGCTATGCTATATGGTCATATCGGAATAATATATCGGTGTTTAAAATCAACATAATTTCGAATAATATCACGCCATTCAAATCACATCTTATGATTCACCTCTTACACATCATTACCTTAATTTTAGCACGTAAATACAACAGGCTAGTGACAGATGTATAATCACTTCATCGCATCATCACATCATATCAGCTATAAATCTCTAGTCAAGTAATGCTATGAAAGATCACATCTTCACTTCGACGCAACAGAAACTTTAATACCCACCATAGGTGCATTCCTTATATCATAATGGGGTATAAAAAGGTCTTTACCTTCATCTTCATCGGTCAGTTGGTATGTCAGCAATATATYGTGTAGTCGAAAAAGTCTGTTCGTATTTCTAATCAAACTTTAGCTTATTTTTTTTATACTTATAATAAAAAAATAAACAAACAAGTATGTACCAGTTTTGGTCGATTTCTTTTTGCCTTYTTTCCGGTAGAGACAATATTCCATCAGTGTAAATCGAAATTTCGAAATTTCCAGAACGGAGCGAGCGAACCGTTGTTTGTTRATACAGCATCATCTCCGTAAACTTCACAAATYTCATTGATGGCTTCCGTATCATTCTTCCCTTTATGCAAAAATTTCAAAATATAGCGAATTTCTTCATTATTTTCTGTCATTTTTGAACAGCTGTAACTTTTTTTTTTTTTAACTTAAATGATCTCACCTTTCTAACACTATGGTATGACACAATGTGACACAACATCTATTGACAAAATACGAAAAAACTTTTTTGACTACAAATATGTACTATAGKCGTTCAATCTGAATAACTTATTCGGAGGTTACGGCATTACTTTCTATAATAATTTGTGTCTTGAAGATACAGAAGTTTTACATACAAAGACTGCATTTTCGACAAATGAGCAGCTTCTTAGGGAGAAAACGGCATGTGTCAAATTTCAGATCGATATCTCAAAATCTGATAGACTGGTTTGCGTATATATAGACAATTAGATAAAACATCTTGTCATGCTGATCATTTATATATGTACATTAGATTGTCCCAAGGTTTTTTTCTCCCAAAAATTACTTATACTTTATTTTCTTCTTTATTAGCATATAGAAACTTCAAATTTAATGGGGAGTGTTTGTTATCATTGTCATTCGAAGCAACATTCTTTGGCATTTATTTTTTGAAGATTATCTCATTCAAATGTTGCCCGCAGCTACGTCTCAGACGGTCCGTCTGTTGGGTCCAATTTTTGGATGACTCGTTCGAGCATTTCGACTGGTAACTGGCGAATGACGCGTATAATGTTTTGCTCCAGGCCTAACTTGAAGCGGGATTGTCCGCATAGACTTTAGACTTTACCCACAGGAAAAAGTCTAATGGTGTGATATCACACAAATTTGGTGGCCAATCTACCGGTTGAAGACGCCAAACTATCTGCTCACCGAAGTGTTCTCTCAATAAATCCATTCATTGATGCCATCATGTTGAAACCTAGAGTCGCCGAGATYACGARCTTCAGCTTCAGSCATCAAATAGTCGCTTATCATGGCGCGATARYGGTCGCCATTGACTGTTACGTTCTCACTGGCRYCATTTTTGAAGATYGCACCAAACCGTTATTTTTTCTGGATGACATGACAGTTCTTGAATCCTTTCAGTTTGCTCTTTGTCATAAATGCGGCAATTTTSTTYCTTTACATACCCATTGRGCCAGAAATGGGCTTCAGCGCTGAACAAAATTTTGCTYSAAAACATCKGATCTTCTTGGAACTTTTCAAGAGCCGATAGGGCGAAGTGATGTCGCTTGGGAAGGTCGAGCGACTTCAGTTCTTACGCAAGCGGTATTTTGTACATTATAAATGTAAGATCTCGAAGTAAATTCTACCAAGTCGTTCCATACGTCAGGGCGAGTTACTGCTAACGTCGCCGAATCTTTTATTTACGGTTTTCGTGTATAGCTACAGGTGCTATATTTTTTTACTGCGAGCTGGACGTGGTGTATGGTTATCACATATTATCAATAATGAAGGGTCTCAACATGGGTAGTGCTATTGCGAATGGTACGCTAGAATATCGTAAAAAAATACTTCTGCTTGAATCACCCGTTAGCAAGAAAATATTGACAAGTTGCGACCCAAATCGGCACAGGTTATCATAATACTATATATGTACATATATATGATTCAGACAAATTAAGGGTATGCCTTCTTTAATAATAATAATTATTATTATTTTTTTTTTTTTTTTTGTTGGGACACAATGTACATACGTTACAGTATCCTAGCAAACTTTTTATATCGTATTGGGGGTATAGAAATTAATATAACACATTTAATCAGAATTATTAAAGAAAGTTAAAAACATATRTGATTTAATAGATTAAATATTTTCCTGACAAAATTAAAGTAAAGTATTTAAGGCTTTCGATTTATTGATATCATCAAAAGTTTTGCCCACAAAAAGAAATTATATAGAACAAACTCCCAGAAATAAAAAGTAAAACTGCTAAAGGACCGAACGCATAATTATTTAATTTAAAAAAATAATAAATTTACAAWTYTTTCTTATWTTTTATTGCATAATCAAACAGCCATCAAGCTCATACTCATTGCAATTGAAGCAACGAAAAGTACTCCTCAATCACCGGCCACATTATTTCCCTTTATTACATTACTGCCTCTCGTTGTTATAAATTTAACAAGTTCCACAAAAAGTTGCAAATGTCCTTGCACAAACACCCGCATTCAAAATGGTTGGCCGCAAAAACCCAAATATGCGAATGCCAAAGCAGCGCAACGACATGCAAGCCTGCAGCTACACCCGCACAGCAGCTATTCTATTGCACGCTGTTGGCATATTTCATTTGCCACAACACCCCCATCACCACCTCCAACTACACTCCCATGCTCACGGCAAGCGCTGAGGTGCTTTTATTTTATTTTAACACACTTTAATGTTTTCACATTTAATACCKCGAGTTTTTGCCAACATGCCACACCRCCGCTGCCGCTATGTTTGTTTGCAACGCTTGCGTGCAACTCACTCAATATGCACTCAATTTAATTTGCACATCACTCATACGCTCCGTCGCACGCGGCGGTCGACCGCCTGCTCGCCCCTTTTTCTTCCGCACAGTTTGGCGTATTTTCACAACCGAATGGTGAACACCGCCAACGAAAATGAAGAGTTGTCAACTCGAGCAACAATAACAACAACACCGCCAACAACACACTACACGGCAGCAAACACGTCAACCGCCAACACACCTGCGCAGCTTGGCGCTGATGATGAGGACGGCGCTGACGCTGGCGTTGCGGGTGGCACGGGTGCGGGGGCAGAACCACTTTACGTGCCTCATAAACAACCAGTTGCGGCAGCCGCTGGCAAACAGCGATTGTTGTTGTCGCCACCCCCGCAGACACCGTTGCCGACAAAACCTGCACCGTCAATGGCAGCAACGCCTACAACAAYAACAACAACAACAAATACTAGAGTAATGTCTGCAATCAGCAGTAGTGGCAGCAACAGCAGTGCCGCTATAATGGCGCACMAACACTTCAACAGGCCGTCTGCCGTGTCGGTAGAAACCGCAATGCCACTGTTTGAGGTGAAATTAGAGTTGCTGCCGACTGAGACCGAGACGCAGTCATCGGTGGCGCAGTCGGCGTCGGATGTGTGGCATACAAATACGGAAATATGCTTCGTGCCATCATTCAACGTGAGTGWAGAAAATAATTTTCAGCAAATTGTCGAGCAGCTGCTAGAGGACATACACCAGACTAGCCACGGTTGCATGCCACGGCGAATTGTGGACGACAAGACGCTGTCTGATGACAATGAAGACGATGACGACAGCGACGGCGACGGCGACGGGGACGGGGACGAAGATGCACATAATGACAACAACAATAACAATAATTTAAATGATGACGTTGGCGCTGTGGTAGACACCATTGAATGCAATAATAAGGATTACGTGTTGCAAGCAGAAAATTTGCGCAGCTTCGCGAGACTGCAACACAGACGACACACGGAAGAGAACCAAAAACAGCGTCAGACACGAAATGCGAGTTTGTCAACATTCCATGAGGTGGCTGTGGCGAAGCGTCTACAGCTGCAGGAACTAGCATCTAGAGCGGGACGATCGCAGCAGGGTAACGGAGACCAAACAGGTGAAAGAACTCAGAATCTCATACCTGAAACTGATACTAACGTCCTAATTGTGAGTTTGGTTGGTAAAATTGTTGTGGTCTGTCTCGTTATTCATTCGTCATTTTGATATTTAAATAGATTCAAGAATGCAAAAATACCAATGATGCCCTAGAGCTTTTTCCAAACTTTATAACCTCAAAGTTATCCTGGGTAATATGATCTCATCATACTTGAGTGTTGACAGATTTAGAATACTCCTTGATAGTATTAWAGTTTTTCCTGATATTTATTATATTATAGATGGATTTTATCTCATTACACTTAGGTCTAGATAGATTTATATATAAGTTCATTATGATGATTTCAAAATAGAGGTTAAAAATTTAGCAGAACATATGCATTACAAAGAAAGACTCTTGATTTTCGTAAAGGCCTCATAGCGCCGCAATAAAGAGGATATATACATTTTAGCTTTCATAATTTGCTCGGGTAGAATTTTCGGTGTCAAAATAAACAAAAATGTTTCCTTAATTCCCACAACAGTCAGATCTTCCTAAACGGAATTGTCCCGSACTTAAACTGGACCAACCAAAGTGGAAGCATTTCTGAAAATTATATGGAAATATTAGCTGCCTTTCTAAGATCAAAAGCCCAACATATGTAAGCAAAGCAAAAATAAAATTAAATTAATTGTGGTATTGGATTCCGAAAATATAGTTAGCCTTACTAGACGAATTCGGTTCAAGGCATACACATAGACATATATTACGTGCAAGTGTAACCTAGATTCAGCTCAACTATGCTCACATCACGCTMCTTGGCTAGACGAATTTATAAACTGCTTTATTTTTGCCCGTAGACATCTCTGCCGACGAACTGCGTCAGCTGAACGCTGACATACACGCTGCACTCMACACGACRATTCGCGATGCCAGATTCTTCGCRGCGCAATTCAACGCATACGCCTTTCTGTGGGAACAGCAGCGAGAGCAGGTGCTACAAGCCACCCTACAAGGCGCACGCGAAAAGGAAGCTGKCGCTGGTAAAGGTTACGCCATCATGGAGGCGTYCAAAATGCAGGTGAGTCACTCCTTACACATTTATGTATGTATATATGTCTAAGAAGATGGTGCTTTCRTGGCGCACTACACATTATGAAGAATAGAAATAGCCAAGATTGTCTGCTCAYAAGATTGGTGCACAAAGGCTTTCGACCTCTATTATTCTTGGCATGTCAGCATACTTTGTGTGTAATGTTTTTGTTCTCCAGTAACAGTACTTGTGTGCAATGGGCTGTCATCAATGGCAAATTGGCTCCTTTTGATGTAACATAACTTCTGCAGCTTGATAAGCTCACGTTTAATATTTTCTCATTCTTTATCAAAATAATGTGCGGTAAAATTTTATAATTTTAAAGCGAGCTTGAAAACGCATAGGAAAATTATGAATACTTTTTAAATCTTTTGACTACTTGGACAGTTGAAACCACTATATATGCTTGTCAACGGGATGAACTTTCAAAAGCCCAAAACTTTTTTTTTTTTTTTTTGTTTTTGTGCGATAGAGAGAATATAGTTAGGAATATATTTTGGACTTATCTCATTTCCTCAAAGTTTTCGAAGTATCAGGAACTGAAATATTCCTCATTCTATATAACTTGGAATCATTTTTCTTCTTCTTTATTTGCTTAGACAACACTTGCGCAGTTAATGTCAAGTTTGCAACACTTGTTCTTCGTTCTCGATGTTAGTCTTGCCGGGAATCGCGGCATAAAGGCAGCTTTTTTTCGTGCTATTAAAATCGACGAAGAGGTGCTGCGTGCAGATTCTCTTTTCCCGGGTATTTTCCAAGATTTGGGGCATGGTGAATATCTAGTCAGTTGTTGATTTTCCAGGCCTGAAACTATACTGACGGTGGGCTTTAATATTTCACCCAGTACGCTCGATAAAACCTTATATTGTTTATGTGGAGGAGGCTTATCCTACAGTAGTTGGCGCAGATTGTGGGTCTATCTTTTTGTAGATTTTATTCCAATCGTCGGGCATGCTTTCGTCTGACTATATTCTACGAAGAAGCTGATGCGTGCTCCTTATTCTCCAGCCAGGTAATTGCTGTTCGAACTTCCTCATTGTCGATGAAACATCTTGTCCATCGTCATCGATTGGGAAATACGGTGCATGGACAGTATGCTCCGGTCTTGAAAAAATTCCAAAATTATATATCTTAACTAATAGCATTACTTCCGCACAATATAGCTTCCAAAAATTACACAAATTCATACATAACTATAAGTTTGTATATAATTTTTAAGCCGCCGGCGATCCTTAAACTAACTGAAGCGATTATGTTTAGCACATCAGCATAATCAACCAAGAGTGATGTTAACCAATTTTCCAATTATCCCCAAAATTCGTTTATATGCATACTAGCCTACAAGCRTTCACACACACATACACATATACACCAACACCATTGACTTGAGGGTGAAACGCAGCTATGAACTCTCATAACCACAACACATCATTTATCGTCCCTTCTTATGCTTTTCTTTGGTTTAGTTCTAACACCAGCACTAATACAATCAAACATCTACTCGAATATACTAGCATTCTGTGTAGATGGCATCCCTGTCACTTGTCATCTTGTGGCCCATTACTGTAAATTGGCCAAGCATTTATCAAATGTAATGGGTCATCTGGGTGTGACTCAACGAACGCTGATAATCAATATGAGTTCCTGTAAATGCCAAAAATAACATAACTACTCGTACATCTGCAGTAGAACTTATTTGAAGTCGTAAATTGGCATACATATGTCACCAAATTAATTATAACTTGCTGACAAGTTTACTTCGAACGACATTTTGATTTGTTAAAAACCTCTGTGTCAACTGATAATTTAAAGTTACAGAATTTCCTTTAATTTCTATTGCAATTTTGTGTTCAGACTTAAACCAGTTGTTMTTCGTAAAGACATAAAAGTTGGTTGGTTGACATGGCACCACAAACCCATGTAATATATAAAGTGTAATTTTCCTGCTCCGTACGGTGATATTGATTGTAATTTTGATTCACCATTGAACCGGAAACCGGTTGATTTTGTTGCTGATTCTGTTGATATTCGCAATGTAGTTCTGTTGATAATCAGTACATATTAGTGAAAAGATTATCTCATCGAGTCGATTTCCACAAGTTTCTTTTGAGACAAGTTCTTCACCAACCACATATTTCAGCATAATCTGGAACAGGTCCAAACTATAAGGAGGATGAATAAGAACCACTCAACTGAACTCGCAGAACTTCTGAAAATTACTCTCCTATTTAGGCAACCAATGATACGAACCCAAACGATAGTATTTCTGGATCTCAATCAATACCGAATGATGCCAATTGATGAAGATACAAATTTTGGCAGACGGAAAGAAATCGAAATGAGCATAAGATGAAAAATGTTGCTTTCAAATATTCATAGCCGAAGATCATTACAATTTTGTAACACTAAAATAATTAGTGTTGAATTTTTTGAGAGTTGTTGAAGTGTTTGGCAAAACGCGACTATACCTAATACAAATTGATGTTGAATCCGAGGACTTGAAAAACTATGGGAAGACACGGACAAACAAAGTATAGCAATAGTTAGATTAGGTTAAATAAAACGATGAACCAAAAATGGATTCCACTTGAACAGCTGAGAACGCCGATCCATTTTGATACCAAATATTCCTAAATATTTACTCTAAAAAATCTGTATCTGGATTGATTTTTTTTTTTTTTTTTATCATAGGACGTGTTTTTTCACATGGCAGATGCCAAACTCAGCGCACAACCTTGGAGAGGGGATGTTTCGCCTTCTCACTTTAGCACAGCATACTTAGTCTAAGACCAGATGTCGTGAGATGCTTGAGCCCAAGTCATTGGCGCTCAGGGAACTTCCATCACTTGTGTGAACTTGTACAATAAGGCTCTATCCTTCACTAGCATTGGCATTGGCTCCCACCTCACTGTTAAAAGTCATAACTTCGAAGGCGTAGATACTTTCGTCTATCTTGGAACAATTCGAACGAAATCCAATGCACAATAACTCTTACCAACAGGTGCTACTACAGGTGCGGAAACCCAACTCGTTCACAATTCGATATCATCGCCGTGAAACAATAGTAGAAGACCTTGATCTGTTGCAGTTCTAACTAAAGTTTGAAGTTCACTCGTATTATAGTATGCTGATTTTGAAGACCGAGTTTCTGACAGAAGAATTATTTAATTTTCTTTCTCATTTATATTTATGTTATAGCCAAATGWAGAATCCTCCTCCTTAGCAAATCCAATTCTAACACCCAGAGCAGAAAAGCTCCATGTGAGTCACAGTAACCCCCACATAAGRGCGTACCATATTGAGCAAGTCTAAATAATAAATTACAGTACAAAATATGTGTGAAGTGTATTTATTATAACAACTATAAAGAAAAAAGTTGCATTTACCATAAGAAAAAAGACCAAGAAATATCGAAAAGTTGATAGGTACCACAGGAGCCTCTCAAAGTAGAGCACTACGCTCCGTAAAAAGCAACCGTTTGCCACCTAATTTATGACTGGCAATCGGTGCGAGTATTGACTCAGCTGTTCATAATGCATGCAATTTTAGTTGGCTAATTTCTCAAGAGGTGATGAGTTGGCCAATTTCGAGTTGCTGCTGTGGCCAGCTGCTGCTCAGTGTAGCTGTATACCGTAACCAAGCCGGAACCGCATTAGTATGCGCACTAAAACCACGCAGCGATTACCAAAAGGCATTTGGATTGAAGCAACAAACACACACACACATACATCATTACACATTGGGCATGCATATTTTCCCCGCCATCAACCCGGCAGTTTTGCTCATTTATTTGCTAGGCTTGGTTATTGCATTCGCCACTAATATGTGTGTATGTATGTGTRTGTATGTGCMMMACATTTATAACCAACGGTCATTGCTGTCGAATATGTGTTTGCAAAATGTATTAGCTGCGTGCGCATTAAATTAAAATACCCAAATGAAGCGTCCATTCCTCATATAGTCAATTGGATGAGTTTGGTAGGCACTTCCATTAGGGCGATATGGATTAAGTGCAATATATTGTTTTGGTCTACTCGAACCGTTTGGTATTTTATTAATAAGGAAAATCGATGGCTTCCGCTGTRCAGGCTCTTAGGTGTTCGAGGAAATGTTTTGATCATAGACTATTTGACCGTTATCATTCGGCAATTGCAAATATGGTAAGAAAGGAAGTTGAAGAGAATGAACTGCATGGAATTCCCAACGAAGCCAAACTATCCCATTCTAATATAATACAATAAAAAGTTTAATTTGCTCGTGACCGAATATTCAACTTTAAGCTTTAGCTATACATGTAGAGGTAATGTGATAATTCGGCCGGACGTACTCTTMAAAATACAGTATAAGTTCCTATGATTCAAAGGTCCAAAATTAACAACACTTCAAGACCAGAATGGAGACTAGGGGATTTCTTGAGTTCAGCTCGTTGGCAATAGCCAAGCAATATGAATTCCAATAATATAATAATACATAATTACCTCAATCCCGSGTCGAGAATAGTGAAACTCCGCAGTTCTTTCGAACTAAGATTATCGACCARTAGCTAGAAACCCTGCAACTACAAGTATTAGCTCTAGTTCAACGTGCCACTTTTTCTTTATTGGCGTAGACACCGCTTAAGCGGTTATAGCCGAGTTCAAGTACACAACAGCCTCGAAAAACGAAGTGAGTTATGGTTGCTGTAGCGAAATTTGTTGAATAAATTTGAGGAAACTGCCGGAAAGGACCTATCCGARCCGTTCGATATCAAGCGACGTTTCAAACAACTGGACTCCCTATTGTGTGACTCCTTCAATATRTGCAGAGCTGAARAGAAGGTACARTTTACTATAAGAGTGTACAGCTKCTGGCGTACGCCGATGGCATCGATATCATTGGCCATAAAAACYGCCCCATTAGTTCAGCTTTCCTCAGTTTGGACAAAGATGCGAAGCGTATGAATCTTATTGTGGATGAGGACAAAACGAAATAATCAAATGAACAGTCGTCGCACTCACRACTTGGCTTCCACGTCTCTGTAAACAGTCACAACTTAGAAGTCGTACATAATTTCGTCTGTCTTAGAAGCAGCATGGACACAATCTCGAAACAACAACACCAGTCTCGAAATCCAACGTAAAATCACTCTAGCCAACAGTACTACTTTGGACTGAGTAAACAATTGAAAAGACATGCCATGAAAAGTTGACTATCATCGATCTATACCACTCCCCATTTAGAATAACGGTGATAGCAGCTYCATTCCGAAAGAAGTACGGATTCCACCAAACCAAAAACCACACAATACTGTCAATTTAGGCAAATGTAATGATTGTTCATGTTGCCGYTTTCAAGTTGCTTCAAGGCAAAGAACCTTTTTCTACAGATGCAAGCTCAAATCCTTTATAAAACTACGCGGCTTGTGGTTTGAGACAGTCATAATTCTTGAGAACGTCTTGGAATTGACAAATTGCGGTCTTTAGCAACACTTGAGTGAACGGCAAAAATGTTTTAATTACTTCGAGTGGTTGTTTGTCTTACTCACACTTGAGCATTATGTAACAAAAATGTACGTTCAGAATGTCTTATAAAACTTTTATTTCCACACTATGAGCTCTGACTCGAGGAAAATTAAGAAAAGGTAAAATAAAAAACTAGAATATAATATGCTGAGATTGAAAGTATATTGTAAAAGAAAAATCAATAAAGTTCCTAAAAAACTTTAAAGGTGCGACCACCCTAATATTACACATATGGTAGCACTTTGCATTTGTGTAACCAAACAGTAACGAAATTGACCAGTAAAGCCGGCGTTTTATTGCCTCAATGAATCGAGCAGCAGCCAAAGCAACTGTGTCACTCAGCACATATTTACAAAGTATTTACCCTGTATACTATACTATATAGTTTCAATAACTTACTGAGAATTCGCATAGATTTACAATTTCATATTCTACTATAAAACTTTTATTGGATTTTCTCTGCTTCAATTGCGGTTGACGCAAACGCAGCTGGGTTCAGTGGGCTTTGGTTAAAGGCGGCAGCCAAAATGAATTCGTTAACTAATTTATGTGCTGCTTGTACTATATAGACATGTAGATACATACAAGTATGTCTAAATATTGCAAATATTCTTAATAATTATTTTACCCATATCCCCTTTCGCCAGATTGACCGCTACAATGAGCATCACGAGGCCGTTGAGCAACTACCGGGACAACAGCACATAARTGGCTGGCTAAGCATCGACCTGAATCCACTGAAGTATGCGCTACTAAACCACGTCTGCAAATGGTCACACCTCCACAAGCGCTGGCTGCTGCAGTACGTGGAACGCACCCTGAATGTAAGCGCAATTGCAACTGTGCTCTTTTTTATATACGCTTATCATTTTCTCCTCATCAGGAGCTCACCAACTTCATCAGTCAGGGTCTGGCGGTTCTCCAGCTRCCCGTTAGCTTGAAGCACTTTCGCCGCTTGCTACGCGTGCTCGCTGTTATGGCRCAAATCCAGAAGCATGTCGCCTATGCGGACAACATGTTTAAGCCTYTAAAGGACATTATGGCTTTGCTGAAGTCTTATAATGTGGAATTTAATCAACAGTTGCTGAGGAATATCGATCATTTGCCGTTACAATGGAAGCATCTGAAGGATGTAGCGGCTGCGCGTTCGGAAGCGCTGGAGCAGGCCCAAAGTTTTCAGAAGAAKCGTGTTAATTCCATGATTATCATATTCATGTGTCGCGTGCAAAATTACGCCAAACGGTTTTCGCGTTTGCCGGTGAGTAAGATCTTAAAATGTTATTATTTTATTCTTTAACCCACCGAAGAAAAGGCGTTGGTTGGTACTCATCTTTATAATGGTTTTCAAATGTCGATTGGTAGTGCTCCAAATTGAACTTTCAAAAAAATTTTCGACGAAAATGAACACTCTCCGAACTTTCTTCTCTCCGATACTGGAAATCTTTTCCTAGCTTTAGTATATTAGTATTCACTTTTGCAGCTTTCCTCACTTCTAAAATGAAGTCAGTTTCGCCAACGCATGGTTCAACCATTACAGTGAACATTCCTCACTTTCTAAACTTAAGGGCAAATCCTCGAAAACTCCATCAAGCTTAACAAAACCTAAATATCCAAATATGCTACTTCTGTAAATTTTCGATAATAATAAGATCTCGTCAGAGCCAATATTTTACTACCTAATTACCCAGTTACCTCAAATCGAATACTTCGYGAAGCTCATTTTACTCCATCTCTWTGAAATCAGSTCAGGTGYGTCCTTCAAACTCTTAATGYMCTTAGGCCAATTGTTTCGGTGTCGCAGAAAGCGTCGATTTTTAAAATAGATTGTCATATGTAATTTGCAGTTCTTCGCCGTTCCTTGCATCAATGTTTATGAGCACTGCGATGCTGTCTGCGCTCGTTTAGACCACCTTGCTTCACTTCATCGCCGATACCTGCGCTACTCGATACTACTCGGCATCGATGCTGCGGATCCAACAACACTACAGCTGTGCAGCGCCGAACTGAGGCGCATAAAGGTRRGTGTACACGCATACATTMCMRGGAACTTAGAAACATTTAACTTCTTGTCTCCCTGCTCATAGCAATTGTGGGACTATGTGCATRTMATTGAGGCCTGTATTGTGGAGTGGCATGCTACACCGTGGCACAGTATCGACACTGATGAGTTGGAAACCGAGTGTAAAAAGTTTACGCGTGAACTACGCACTCTGGRCAAATGTATACGCGATTGGGCGCCATACACATACATCGTGGACATTCTCAAGGATTTGATGGCTTCATTACGCGCCATCACCGAACTACAGAATCCGGCTATCAGTGAGCGGCATTGGCTCGAGCTGATGCAAGCAACCAAGGTAATTTGATGACATATTTTTCTCTTTGCTTTTTACCATTTTTTTCTTTGCTTTCATCCGCTCAAAAGTTGACTCAGACGCATACCGTGGAATATCTGGTGAGTTATAGTCGCTATATGCATATTCCTTGTTTCCTTTTTTTAACATTACTTTAGTAATTAAGCAACACTTTGTTCGAATGACCATGCACATATCTATCCCTAGCTTTGGCTATAGTTTTCAAGCATGGAAGTTTTAAATACTGAGGGCTTACATTCCAAATGCCTCGAAGACGTAAAATCTGGAAAGTAATAGAAGTTTTTTGAACTGGATTTTTCGAAAACAAACCGACCAAAATCGGTATCATACAATTCTAAATGAGATAGAGTGGCCAAGAAATTTTCAGAGCAAGAATAAAAGAATGTCTATCTACCTCTTTCTCTCTCTCTCCTTGTGAGGAGCAGAGATATTCTCTGAGCCAGTGCAAAAGTGAATCTATTTATCCCTCTCTCCCTGCCTCTTTGAATGTCTTTTCCTCTCTCTATCTCTATCTCTAACTGCGCGGCATTCATTCTTCCTTTTCACTGTTTGGCGCCAATTGGAGATTCCAAGTGTAGCCAAGTCCTTTTCCCCCTGGTCTTTTCAACGGAGTGGAGGTCAATTCGGACGACATGACCTAGCCCGCGCAGCCGCTGTTTCCTGATTCGCAAAACTATTTCAATGGAGTCGTATATCTCGTACAGCTCATCGTTCCATCGACTCCGGTTTTCGCCGTGCTACAAAACCATATGTACCTGTAAATATGCCGCAGAACCTTTCTCTCGAAAACTCGTAATAGAGCACGACGGAGATGACAATTGACTCATAGAATTTGGTCTTTGTTCGTGATAGAGGAATTTGCTTCTCAATTGCCTACTCAGTCCGAAGTAGCACCTGTTGGTAAGAGTTATTCGTTGGATTTCGAGGCTGACTACTACTGTTAATATTGGTTCCTGTCAATAGTGACGTGGGAACCCAGTCGCGAGTGCGAGGACTATTTTTTGATGGAAGAAAATATTTCGTCTTGCCCTCGTTCACTAGCAGACCCTTTTGCTCGGTTTCTTTGTCCAAGCTGGAGAAATCAGAACTAACGGCGTAGTTGTTATGATCCATAATGTCGATGTCATCCGCGTACGCCAGTAGTTGTACACTCTTGTAGAACATTGTACCTTCTCTAATCAGATCTGCAGCTCGAATTGTTTTTCCAGGAGTATATTCAAGAAGTCACATAAAAGGRAATCGCCTTGTCTGAAATCTTGTTAGGTATCGAACGGTTCGGATAGTTAATTCCCGATCCTGAAGGAGCTTTTGGTATTGCTCAACGTCAGTTTACACAGCTGCATTAGTGTTGCGGAGATACCAAATTCAGACATAGCGGCATAAWGGCAGCTCCTTTTCGTGCTGTCAAAAGCTGTTTTAAAATCGACGAAGASGTGGTGTGTAGCGATTTTATTTTCACCGGACTACTCAAAGATTTAAAATTATTAGATTTTAAACATGAATCAAATGAACAAAAAATTTCGATAACCAGTTGTCAGTTGTCAGAAATAATCTCAATGACGAAAGCGATAGACTTCTCACTCATCAGAGTTCTTGATATTTTAGTCAGTACCATGAAGCAATTTGAAGAGCATTGCAAATAAAAATATCCAGAAATTCTGGATTTTTGAATTATCTGCTTTGGTGATGTGCAATAGCCACCCTGTGCCTGTGTTTTACATTGTCAATTGATGGATTTATTTTCACCATTTGTTTATGTCCAAACTTAATTAGGATCAAGTGCTTGCTGTACTGGGCAACGAATTGCGTAAGTTGCATGCGTCAGTTGCAATGATTGAATCATGTACATTTAATGCTACGAACGGGACAACAAAGTCCACAAATTCCGAGAACATAAATATATGTGCACACATACACGAGCGTGGCAAAGTGTGCGTGTGTGTAGGTGGATGCAAGTGCAGGCGAGATTGAGTTGCATACTTTGCTCAATCTATATAAATCTGGTYTATAATGCAAACCTAATTCAACTATCGTCCCGTAAAGCCTCATTTACACACACGCACACACAATTTCGCCTTTGACATTAATATTTACATGAAAACAGTTTGTAAATTTGTCATCTATATGGATCTGTGTGTATGTGTGTTTATACGTTGTTGTGCCCATCTGGAACTGAGCTCCGATATTAGCAAATAATTGACAAGTTAAAATTACATTTTCAATTAAAGACAAATTCTGAAATCACAGTCACGAAAATTAGTGGCTCATTCCCCTTGTTTACAGCGGACTAAGTTTATGGAAGCAACTTGCGAATGCAAATGTKTGTATGGAGTGTGARTATGTGTGTGTTGTGGAGCAGTTGCCCGAAATTACTGAGACAATTTATTTGCTTGTCAAATTAGCCAACCGTATCGCTTACTTGATTGCAAGTACAGTTATACGGKGAACTACAAGTGAAATATTCAGAAGGGCTTATGAGGCGCGCATACATACAAACACAGAGCGAGAGTTGTGTCATATGTATTTAATTTGCTATACCTACTATACATATATTTCTATTTATTAAATTTACAGAAAAATTAAATCCGAATTTTCGTTGTCATTAACTTGAATGTTTACTAAGCACACACTTTTGGTGTTTTATGTATTGTGGAAAATATGTTGTGCAGCCGATAATGAAAATTTAAATATAATTTATTGTTCTAATTTTATTT